TACTTTCAACACTGTTACTCCCATCACTGGAAGTAAGGAATGTTTAAATGAGGATATTTAGTGGAAAAGAGGGGAATTGACTCAAAGTATCAGGTTTGGTGAATGTTTGTTGAGGAACCAGAGGCAGAGAAGCAGAGATGATTTCTTGCAGATTTAATGAAGATGTTGATAGTAAGAAACAATTAATCCAAAAACAACAGGAAAGTAATCAAAAGCAAGGAGATGCTCAGGGAAAGTAACATAAGGAATGTAGTAATGAGAGGATTCCAGCAATGAGGAACATTGGTGTATTTATTGACAGAGAAAAGAATGGGCTAATCAGCTGAGTGGGTGCAAATATGGGGAAAGGAGACTGGCACAAGGTGACGACAGAGATTAACCAAAAATACAACACTACGTAAATATAACTAGAAAGCAACTAGAATAAATCAAAATGGAAAATGAACCAATGAAAACACAGAATTACAAAAATCAAAATAAAAACTTAAAAAAAGTTTGAGAACGGCCAGGATCATGACACAAAGCATATTCCCAAAAGTTAGATTTTTTTTTTTTAAATCCACGGGACCATGTTTCCAAGTTTGAAGATGTTTCTCTTCCATCCAGAAAGATTTTTCAATCCAAAATGTCAGAAATAGCGTTTAGTTCCAGGTTTTATCCAGCAGCCCAACAAAGCCTGGTTTTAGTTTAGAAAACATGCAAATGGAAACAGGAAAACCGGCTCCACCCCTTAATAATGGGAATCATTGAGGTCGTTATTGACTTAGACTTATAGGCAGATAATGAATTAGACTTAGATATATTTATTTGTCATTTTGTTTTCACAAGTGTAAAACAAAAAGAAATTTCGTTTAGAACAGCTCACTGGAAAATTTCCTTTTTTTAAAGTGCAGCCTTGAAAAATATATATTTTTAAAAACATAAAAACAGGAATATAAACTTATGACTGTAAATCATATGTGATCATAGATGTGGATTTGATGTCTAGTCTGTATCATATTAAACGGCATATTTTGTACAATTATTGAAATTGTCGAGGAGCCGTTCTTGGTAACCGAAATATTGGCCTGCAATACCTGATACTGGCCAATAAGACCTCAACGGGGTGGAGCTGGTTTTCCAGTTTCAATGTGTATGTTTTTAAGCCATCACAAGGCTTTGTTGGGCTATTGTATAAAGCCTGGAACTCAACGCTAATCCAGACATTTTGAATTGAAAAAGCTTCCTGGATGGGAAGAGAAATGTCTTCAAACTTAGAAACAAAGTCCAGTGGATTGATTTTAACTTTAACTTTTCGGAATGACTATGACCTGGATAACTGGGAATCTCCACCAGCGTATGACACAATGTATATATATATATATATATACTAATATATATTAATATATTCCAACTTTGAATAAAAATCTTAGTTTGCAGAAAAAAAAAACATCACAAAAAACTTTCAAAAAGACATCTGCTGACCCGAGCTGTCCTCCGTCATGTTGTCAGTCCGCTTCCCCATTCGGAAAACACTACAGGCTACATTCAAACAGTCCACAGGTTCGTCAACCTTTGTCCAGTGTGGTGCAGGGTAGGATGTGTTTGCAGAGTAAAAAGCTTAATGAAAAGGCGCAACAGCAGCAACAACAACCTTGGCCTCTGGCCTGCTGTCTTCTGCCAAAGTCAACAACCATCCAAGAACTTAGAGAACCGTAACGCTTTCCTCTGGCTGTTTGTGTTTTCTTTTATGTCGCTGCTGTTGGGTTTTTCCTATAAAGCAACACACAAAAAAATTAATCCAGTCCTTTTCTGTCCCTTTGTGATTAACAACTTCACTTAATATCTTAAATCCTGTGATATGTTGTGTATCTGTTTAGAAAGCACCTCACCGCTCAGTCTATATCAGCGGACTTTGTGAATGAAACCCAAAAAAAAACATAAAGATAACAAGACAGATAAGAGATAAGAACAGGCTGGAAATGAAAGATATAAAGAAGACTTTTGCAGTTTATTTAAGCAGATCAAGAAAGTTTTTATGCATTAAAAAAAATCTACTTTGTGAATGAAAAAGTTAATGATATTTGTTTGTTTTGGGTTTTTTTAAGGAAACTTATGCCAAAGCTGATTGCACCTTCAGAGAGCAGATCTTGGCCGACGGATACAACATCTACACCTCTGATGGACACGGAGCCCTCCTCAGCTTAGGAAACAGTCAGCAAAGACTCCATGGCTTAGACCACGGCGTTCCAGCTCTGGCTCGCTTCCTTCCCAGGGTAAACACCCTGCAGCAGACTGTCCCCACGGGGCTTCATGTCCCCGATCAGCTCATTTCAGAGCAAACAGAGGAGACTGTGGACACAGCAGGCTTATTTGGAAAGCCCTCTCAGATCATTCACAGCCCCAGCTTCCACAAGCGATGAGGCAGCAGGTCTGAGGCAGCTGTCAGGCGACGTGTCCAGGGATGTCCAAGCGCTACCTTGTGGACAGACAAGAGGTCCAGCCTTTCAGCACAAAGACACTGGATCAGACTTTCCATCCAGAGAAGTCTGACACCAGAGAGAAGTGCAGCCCTCCACCAGCTGAACCAACGGAGGGAAACCTGCATGGAGAGGAACGTTTGCCTCTGGAGTAAACACTATGGATGGATGGCTGGGAAAGGCAATGAACTGCCCAACATGCATCCATCTGATTATCATGGATTCAGAGCCAGGCGTGAAAAGCAAAGCCACTGACATGGGAGGACAATGACACGTCTGATGAACTACAGAGGAGGAGAATCCTTCTTTAGGATGTTCGCTCCTTTTAAAGCCCCTTCAGAGACTGTGAGATAGTAGGCAACAGGCCGCCCAGGTTAAAGTGGTGTTGTTTAGATATGTTTATATTTATTTAGTTATTTAAATATTGTCAGTTTTACACTTCAATGTTTACCTCCATTTTTACTGGTTTTGTAAACATTTCCAATAATGTAAGTGGTTAAATATGTTTTTGGATAAATAAAGAAAAAATATCATTAATACTGAATATGAGCATTTTAAACTAAAATGACAAAACTATGTGAGATTAAAAAAACGTACGGTGAATTTCCAGAAATGATCTTTAGTCCACATTGTCAGCCGTTGAAAATACATCAGACATACAATTTAAGATGTCTTCATAATCCACAAATGTTGGACACATCAAAGCAAAAAATAGCCCAGAAAATAAAGCATTCCTTTGGCCGTGTGTTCAGTTCTATTCAGTTTATTTCTATAGCACCAATTCAACAACAC